TCAGCCCAAAAAGTGGGCTGAAAAACTAGGCTTATACTCGAGTATATACAGTACTTAATACAACCATTAGTAAGCAACTCCTTTTTCTCCCTTCATTGCTCACCACTTTTAAGCTGCTCCCACATCTTGAGGAACTTTTTCACGTTCTGCTCAGCCTGATTGGCCTCTCTCACCGTAACCTCCTGCTGGCCTTCAGTGTCATGGAGCTGCAACAGCTGCTGGGCCTCCCTTTGACTGTTCCGCTTTTGAATCTCCTGGATCTCATGACAAAGCTGGAAAAGTGGAGATAAAAGATGGAAGGAAGTTATTTTTACCAACTGCAGAGGCGTAGCTGTTAGGGAAGGAAGGGGCCTGGGAGATCATTTGTTCCAGCCCGCTGTCTTGTTCGGGAATCCATTTCTACAGCATCCCCATTAGAAGGGCATGTGGCCCCTGTTTAAATACCATTCTCCGGTTAGACTGCTCCACTGCTGAATATCTCTTACTATTAAGAAATGTTATCCAGCTAAAATCTCTTTCTTATTTACAGTTGTTTCTTTCTCAGCTTCTAAAACAATTCAGAACAATTCTTCCTTCTACATGATGGCTGTATTACCGTATATCTGATATTTGAAAACAACTATCAGGTATCCAAGTTTTCTTTTTTCCGGGCTAAAATCAGCCATTGTTCCCAACTGTTCCTCTTGTTCTTCCCAAGGCCCTCACCATCTCGCATTCACATGTTCCAGTCTGACACTGATTCTGCTTCCCAAAGTATTCCAGGCCTGCTGCAAAATAGTGGAATGACAAGTTCTCTCTTGTACTTTTGTTAAAGCTGCTTAGGATGGTCTTTGCTTTTTTTTTTTTTTTTTTTGCAATTACATCACACTACTGGTTCATGTTTGGCTTGTGATCTGTCAAGACGCTCAGATTGGTTTCACACATAAAACTTCCTAATTATTTGTTTGTTTATTTAGAACCCCCCCCCCATATTAATGTCCCTTTGATTTGTCCTATCTAAATGCAAGATATTGCTTGGGCTGAAAAACAGCAAGATGAATTTCAACTTGTTAAAAGCCTTATCAATTCTGATATTACCCTCATCTTTGTTACACAGTCATGATGACACAGTAGTAAGAATGGAGTATAGTAGGCCAATTCTGACCAATGGAGGAGTTTAATCCCGACTCTCTCAAGGTTGACTCGCCTTCCATCCTTCTGAGATCGATAAAATGAGGACCCAGATTGTTGGGGGCAATTTGCTGATTCTGTAAACTGCTTAGAAAGGGCTGTAAAGCACTGTGAAGCGGTATACAAGTCTACATCTACAAATCTTTCAATCATATTTTCCAACTCCTCATCCAAGTGATTTATAAATATGTTGAATGTGCAGAGCCTAGAATGAAGGCCTGGGATACTTCAAATATATCTAACATGGAATAACAGGATACATTCATATGCATTTATAAATTTCTGCTCATTCAAAGATGGGTGGATAGCAGAGGTGGGTTGCTCCTGGTTCGGCTGAACTGGTAGTGATAATCTGGCCGAACTGGTTCCCCAGTCTCCATTGGCACTGCTGGCATCTTGTTTATTAGCTTTTAATGGTGTTCGCGCATGTGTGCAACCATTTAAAGTGAACTGAGCATGTGCAAGCAACGTGCGGCCCACGCATGCGTGAGCGAAGAGGTACCGGTTTGTGTAGGGACCCATCCGTGGTGGATAGCATTTCAATTCAGTGGTTGGTAAAGTCAAAGAGGCTGTCACCTAGAAAAAATACTGCCCTTCTTAAAAAGAAAAAAAAAAGAGAATGGAGAAAGGAAAGGAAAGGAAAGATAATCTTTTCCACTCACCTCATGAATTTCTTCCCATAGTCGGTCCTTCTGACTGTTTTGCTCATTGACATAGTTGAATTGAGCAAAATTTCTTTCCCTATCTATAGAGAGAAGGATAAACATTATAGCAGCCAATGCATTAATAATCAACCACATATCCAAGGGGCACCGGAGGGGGAATAGCTCACAAATGTCCCAGTCAGTAGGCTCTTCTCGGCTGACCAACCTCGGTAGGCCGAGGCAGTGAACACTATCTAGTTCAAACTGATCCTTTTTAAAAAAGGAACTACCAGTAACTGCCATTCACATACATCACCTTTAACAAATGTATCCAGAGCCATATTCAGATCTTTTGAGCCAGTGAGCTCCAGGAGTTTATCAAAAGCATTGGTGTAAGATTCAAGCAACTCTTCTTCACTGTCTTTCCGTCTGCGTTCTTCTTCTATTGAGAGTTAAAAAACAAAAGTGAAAGAAAGGATCCCAGTTCTCCCTCTTAACGTTACATGTGCTAAATCTCCTTTCTGTAACTCCCAACTCTGCAATGCTCAGAAACAGTTGAAACCTGTCTCTTTATAAGAGCCTAAAGACTGAACACACATTAAAAATAAAAAGAGAAGCATTACAATTTAACCACTTTTTACTAGATCCAAAACATTGATGTTACCATTAGATTGTTCTATCAATAAATTTTTAATAACATTTTTCCAAACTGAATGCCAAACCTGGCAAGAGTGCTGTACTAGACATCTGGATAGGAGTGAGTGTGATCATGACAAAAGCTGAATTTGCTTTCATTCATATTTAATATGGTCACTCCCAAGTCACATCTGTAATAATTTCCCCCTTCTGTTTTATTAAAAACTGCAATTAGATAACATCTGTCAGTCTCTCAGAGGGTCCCAGATGTGCACCATTGCATTAAAGTAACCAAGTTATCAGGATGTTGGAAAAGACACCACTGGAGCCAAGTTAACTCCATCTAGAATCATTGCAGTTTATGAACCAGCAACTGTACCAAGCTTGATCCAAAGGCCTTCCCAATTCATCAAACAACAGAATTTCATTTTAAACAACTCTTACAGTGATTCTAAGTACCACCTTTGAAGAGGCCTTTGTCCATTTCTTAAACAAACTTCATTAAGGTCTATACAAGTGAATGAAGCCGGCATCTTCTTTTCACTGCCCTTTTTTTATCCATATGTGCATTGTCTAAAATTGACTAAAATTCTATTGACAATCAATTGATCTTTCTTTGCAGCCCCCTGTACCAAAAGTAAAAAACACTTGAGCAAATAATTTGGAAAGGTCACGTGACTGTTTATGCATTGGTCCTTTTTATCCACTTTGTTATTACCATATTTTTGGAGTATAAGACGCACGCTTTTCCCTCAAAAAAGGGTAAAAATCTGGGTGCATCTTATATACTGAATACAGCATTTTTTTCTTGTTTCCCCTCCCCTCTACAAGCCTCCTAAAGGCTATATAGACATGCCCTCTTTTTTGACAAAAATGGTCTGTTTTTGGGAGGTCTGCAGTGTGCAAAAACTTTTTTTAAAAAAATTTGCCTCTTCAAAATCTTGGTATGTCTTATACTCTGGTGCATCTTATACTCCAAAAAGATGGTAATTTTAAAGTTTTAAAGTGCCGAATATCTTGCCCCCTGATGTTAAGTTAACCCCAATCCTCCTATCTTTTTCTAAGGGTCTATAGACATGGCTGCACCACTTGGCCTGGGACCCGTGACAGATCAGCATAATGAAGGCCATTGACTGAGTAATAACAGATCCCACCTATCACATACACCCCATTCCACCCCCACCCTCCTCGTGCGTCTTTGGTTGTAAAGTTTGATTTTAACATTTTATGTTTCTGCTTATATGTAACTGTAGGCCACCCAGAATTACCCTGTGGTAAGATGGGCAGCCAATAAAATTTATAAATAAATAAATAAATAAATAAATAAATAAATAAATAAAATATTTTAATGCTTTTAACCTTTAAACTTCTTTATGCTGTTACTTATGGCATTGCAAGCTGCTTGATAATGAGATGGGCAGCGTTATAAATTTTAAAAAATAAATAAAATGTCTGGCTTCAAGTAACCTAGCAGGGGCAGTTACCCAGATGGTTGAATGGCAGAATTGCTTGCTTTTAAATCATTGCAACCCCTCCTGGTTCAGAACTTGCTTTCTACAGCTTCAAAGTCACTTTCCCCTGCTAAAGATGGAAACCTGCAAGTCAATCCTATGCAAAATAAATACACACGTTTCTTTGCCTTGGCTTTCAGTGCTTCTTCAGTGAATGACCTTTCCTGCAGCTTGATGTTGATGAATTCAGACATGCGCCGGTCGTTCTCCAGGAAGCGCTCCAATTCTTTCATCTCAGAGATATACTGCTTTAAGTCCTTCTCTGCTTTGTCTTGCAGCTGGCCCAAACGGGCATGAGCTTCATCCCTAGGTTTATCGCAAAGAAGAAATAAAGGCAAGTTTTCAGAGGTGGGCAGAACTAAGAATCCCAGTTCCTAACTTCTCTTCAGGTCAGGGCACAGAAATTATTCTGTTTGCAAAGAAGCCAAAAACTCCCTGCAACTTTAGCCCAGCATTCTTCTCACAGTGGAATGAGTGCAGGCAGAATTCCTGGCACCTCAAATAAAAGGATTTCTGCTAAATTTCAATCCCAGCTTATCCAGCCTGGGATATTTCAGTTACATAAACTGAGGAAAAGTCCGCTTGGGTGGGAAAAAAGAAAAGGGATGAGGTTAGGGAAAGGAATCCCTAAGGCCAATGAAATTAACTTTATTCAGCAGACTGAACATTTACTTCATTAGTATTTAAGGCTCCAATCACTCCCCCTTTTGCTCCTGCTTATTAGTACCTGCCTTTCTTCCTTGTGGTTTTGTTTTAGAATAATGGAATAACCCTTGTGGGTCTTCCCGACTTAAACCTCTGCTTGAGCAGGAAACTCTATGTCATTCTGGGCAAAGGCTGTCCAATCTCCTCTTGAAAATCTCCCATCCGTCACTTATTATCCTGCCCTCAGATACTTTGGAATCTAGCTCCACCCCTCTTCTCAGTGACAGCCCCTCAAGAATTGGAAGACTATCATGTCACCCCTAGTCCTTCTCTTTGCTAGACATATCTGTTCCTCCAAACATTCATTGTACAGTTTGGCCGTGAGACCCCTAATCATCTTCGTTGCTCTTCTCTGCATTTTTTTTCTAGAGTCTCAACATCTTTTTAAGTGGATCGCTTAAAAAGTCTAAAGCAAACAACCTAAAATCTGAGCACTCCATTAAATAACAAACAAACAGGGAGAATAACAGCTTCTGCCACCCAAAAAGATAAGGCATATAAATTTATAAATAAATAATAAAAGGAGAAGGCTTTTGACGCATTGTAGTGCTCAAATGTAAGAAAGACAGCAAGAACTGAGCCTTATCTCTGCTTTATGTAAGACTGCTTGCATTTTATCCTTGAGAGTTGCTAGATTTCTTCTCAATGGCTTTCTTAGTTTTTGCTATAAACACATTGATCATGTCATGAATCACAGTCTACAAGCACAAGCACCAGAAATAAGCCACAGCAACGTCAAAATGATGCCATTGCACATATAACACAATTATATTTGGATCTGGACATCTGAGATGAATACCTAAGTCATATTATTTGCGTCAAAGCACATGTGTTCTCACTGCCCACCTGCTGCAGATGCCCATGCCTGTGAAGCTTATAGTTCTAGCTCATTGCTGGGAATCAAACTGGACTTGAAACAGCTTCTAAGAACTCAAGAATCCAGATTCCTAGCTTTTCCTACTGTATTATATTGTTAACCTGTCTAAGTATTCTGAGATTGATTAGGAAAAAGATAACAGAAAGCATCAAACGTGAGACTATACTTCCACCCCTTCCAATTAATTGAGATTGGCTTCATTAATCATGCTAGCCATGATATACTTATCCAGGTTTACCAAATAAACCACAATTGGCTGGATTTTAAACCAAAATCACTATTTACAAACCACAATGGTTGTGTTTTACACATACATCATATGATATAAAGCAAACAAAATGGTAAAAAGTTACGATATTTACGTAGTTACTTATCAAGCACATCTAAATTATATTAAAGCAACCAAAATATCTTTACAATCCCCAAGGCATATCACAACTTTTGAGCACCTTTATGTTTGGAAGTTGAAAGCCAAAAAATTTGACATACCCTAAATTGTATACCTTGGCTCAGTTTCTAGTTCTGTTTATGGAAAGGCAAGAAATCCAACAGTAACAAACTAAGAATGTGGGAGATCAGGGTACCAGAGACAGGTTGCAGTGTTCACATCACCTTTAGCCAATGCAAGATTGTCTTTATAGTATGGTTTGAATAATGTACAGGGAGCATATATTTTCAGTGATCTCAAAGCAGACTGTTATTTTATATAATGCAAATGACCACTTTTGATATTAAAGAGAGACTATTAAAAGCTTGAACTATGGAAGAATCATGGTTAATAATTAGGAAATTGCCACAATGCATGGATAGAGAAGGGTATTCATGAAGAATATCAAGAAGTTTCAGCTGGTACAGAATGCAGTGGCATGGGCAATTGTATGTATCCCTAGATCGGTGCTTCTCAGCCTTGGTGGCTTGAAGATGTGTGGACTTCAACTCCCAGAATTCTCCAACAAGCATGGAGTCAAAGTCCACACATCTTCCAAGTTGCCAAGGCTGAGAAACACTGCTGTAGATGGACAGTCATTACACTTTTGCTCTTTGAGTTCCATTTGTTGCTAGTTTGCTTCCAGGTCCAATTCAAAGTGATGTTTTTGATTCTACATGACATGGGCTTTAAAGGGTTTTAAATTTAAGGAAGCACTTCTTCCATACAACATCTACCCATTCCATCAGTTTGGGCAAGACAAGCTTTCTGCAGGTCTCATTCTGCGAAATAATTCCATCTGACAGGACCTAGGAGGTGAAACTTTTCTGCTATGGCACCCATCCTCTGAAACATCTCCTTCCTGAGGTGAGATTAGCCTCAACCCTTATGACCTTCCAGGAAGACCTCAAAATGTGCTTTTTATAGCAAGACTGGGGATTCCCTGGTAATTTGGAAGCCTGCATGCTGGTTATATTGTATGTTAACGTCTTCACTCTTGTGGTCTTATTTTATATATTCTTATTGTTCTATTGTTTTAATTCTTGGTTTTAATGTGTACCACTAAGGGTCACTTCAGGTGAGATAGGCAGCCGTATCAATCGGGTCCAGTGAAAGTTACAGATAAAAGGGAAAGCAGCATGACAGTTAAGCAGCAATCATGAACTAGTGGAAGTATAAACTCTTTGTAATATAAGACCACATCTAGATACAAGGACAGGTTCCTCATAACGACTGATCATTGCTTTCTTCTAACCTTGCTTCATAAGCTGCAGAGGAGGTGCTGACCACATTGATGATGGTTTTACGAGTTTCCAGCAGTTCCTGACAGAGACAAACAGAGAAAGAAAACATCCTTGTTGCTATACAGCATTATCATTCTGCACAAAGGTTCCGTGTCCTTTTTGAAGCCTAGTCACTGGGCTTTAATTCTCTCCAAAACATCCTCACTTTCGACTTGGCAACATGCCTATTTGCACATTTTTCTTCCTAATTCTCTTATTCATAAACTATGATGAATCTCAAAAATGAAATTGGGCTTGATGATTATTCTTTAGGGTGTAATTCCACAAGCATAAAGTATCCTTTAGGCGCGTTTGGGAAATCTGCAGCAGCATCAAAAGTTGCAGGTTCTTCCACGGAAAAAGTCAAGAAATCCATTTATTTGTTAACATTTTCATTAACAAATATAGCAAGGTAATCTTCACCATGTAATTTCATAGATATGCAACAGCTTACGTTTGGGAAATTCTACAAAAAATGGGTGACTAATCAACTTGTATTTGGGACAGATTGGAATATTCTGGGCAACTCTTTTAACAGCAAATGTATGCAGAACTTGATATAACTCAAAGCATCAGAATTTCATTGTCAAATTATGTTTTCAGCTTTAAAACCCAAAATAACTTTCCAAATTGCATTTTTTAAGCCCATGATTTCTGATTTGCCAATTTGGCACCTCAGTTTTAAGATACCAAAATAGCCAATCACACCTTTCCATTCCGGACAAAAGTTCTTGCTAAGCAACCAAATCCCAGAATTCTCTAACAGAACCTCATTATCTTATAACATGACTTCAGTCTTCCTTGAAATTCTGTTAGCCAAGAATCCCAACAAATTCAAGAATTTTCTTTTAAATTCACTTTACCTCCTCTAATTCTTTATACTGGTGTTCAAAGTGATCATAGCCAACTCAAAGAATTTCTAGATCCTTATGTACTTGTGAATTCAAGATGAGTTGAGAACTGAATTCAGAGGTGATCTGGAAACAGAGAGCAGAATGAAGAAAGTTTAGACCACCCACAAATTCTGGCACCAAATCTGGGTATTCCTAACTATGTTTACCTTATCTAGTTGGTTTTCTACTGTCTGAATCTTTCTTTGCAAATGGGCTCTCTGCTCCTGTATCATGCAGTCACTGCCCATCACCTGCTTCCGTTCAGCCAAACGGTTCTCCCAGGTTTCGATCTATAAATAACAGAAAAAGAAATTACGGTAGTTAATGGAAGTGACATGCAGGTTAGTTTCAGACCCAAGAAATTAGATATTTGAAGAAACCCATATGCTCTCCCATCTTTTGCTCTAACGTTTGATCTTGGGCTCTAAATGCCAAACGCTGTTGCATTCTTCATCCCTATATTTAACCCAGAAGTCTAAATCTTAATTCACTTATTCCCACACAAATTTCCAATTTTCTGGATGTGAGAGAGACATCTGCCAAAAAAAAAAAAGACAGTACAGGTAGTTGTGTACATATGACCACAATGAAGCCTGTCCATTGCAGTCTTATGTCGTGATGGTCATAAAATGGATCAGTCATGCAACCAAACTGTTTTTATGGTTTTTTGCAATAATTGTTAAGCATGTTTGCTGAAATCCAGAAGTGCCGATTTTCAGCAAAACTGTTGTGAAATGCAGTGATGTGACCACAGAATGCTGCAAACAGCCATAAATGCGCCTGTGTTGCCAAGCATCCAAACTTCGATCATGTGACCATGAACGGGGTATGACTGTTGGAACTTCAGATCTAAGTCATAAGCCCCTCTTTGGGTCAGCCTAACTTTGAACAGTCACTAAGCAACCAGTTGTAAATTGAGGACTACCTGCATTATTTTTCCCTAATGTAGGAGGATTGTAATTGCTAGAATTCTCAGCAATTCTCAGGGTATTTTAAGAATTGAAAACCCAATACATCAACTGGATACTATGTAGCAGACGACCATCTTAGATATTTCCATACTGCCTCTAAGACCTTGTATGAGCATGTGCCTAATATCTTCTTTCATATCACAACTACATCAATCTTCTAAGGTCCCAGAATCCTAGCTCTCCAACTTGCTGCTTCATCCCATTTTAGAAAAATAAATCTTGGTCTTATCTTGTCTCTCAATACCTCCTGATCAAGCCGAGTTATCCGCTTTTTTTCTTTAATAATTTGTTCCTTCACTGCATCCCGTTCAGTCAACAAGGATCGGAGAACTTCACTTTGGGCTTTTTCCTTCTTCTGGTTGGAATGGCCCTCAGCCACACCCTGTCTGTATCGTAGATCTTCATTCTCTTTTTCCAGGCGCTTGACCTCAACCCTGTCCAACGAAAACATGGGGATTTTCAGAGGTGGTAAAATAGCACGGTGAGATGAAGCCTGGTGGGCAGGAACAAGGTGTTCATGGTGGTGATGTTGGTGAGTTTTGGTTGGAAGTGGTGGCAGCGCCAGTTTGGGAGAGTTTGTGGCACAGGGCAAGGAAAGATTAGAGGGATATGAATTTGCAGTTGAATATGTGTTTCACAAATTATGAATGGGGAATAAAGGATAAATGGAAATTCAGGTGGAATGTGCATTTAAAAGACAGCCAGTCTGGATAATCCACTATTCCTATTTGCATTAGGAAATCTGTGAGCATAATTGTCTGGGGCAGATATGACTGTTGGGATAATAGGACTTGTCAGTGTAAAATAAGCAGGGGAAATAAAAATACATGATTCCCTTAAAGTTGGTATAATTTTTGAATGCCTAGAGAGAAAACCAGGAAGGGAAGTTCTCCTGATAGCAGGCAAAATGAAGTAGCAGTTTAAATAAGAGGAGGAAAGAAAGTAGGAATATTGGATTCTCTAGGAATACGCTGGATTAAAGGGATAAGATGAAGATGGATAAAATCCTGGATCAATACTGTGCAATTCTGCAAGCACACATAATGGTAGACACCAACTATTCCTACAAAATGGATGTATATTTGTATAGCATTGTGTGGGGTAGGCCACATGGCCACATGGTATTAAATAAAAGCAACCCATGCACATTCACAATGGTCAATTATATGTTGCTAAGAGCATAGCGGTTGTCACGTGCATTGGCATTATGCCAACATCTGGATCAGCATATGAAGAGGGAAAGGAAAAAAGAGACTGATTTTTTTTTTAATGTTTCAATTTTTAGTCTTCTCCATGAAGTAAGGCATGTAATTATCCAGACTGTGTTTCAAAAGCCAAAATTGGAAATGAGAGCTCAAAAGATGGAAATCAAAGAATGGATGCAGGGTGTCATCGCTAACCAAAAAAAAAAAAAAAAATGAGGCTAAGAAAATATGAAATTATTCAGGACTGGAAAATAATAAGGTAAGAAATCAGCTACTCAGCTAAAACGTTTAAGGTTGGAAACAAACAACATGAACATCTGAGGGAAGCTACACTATTTCTAATGGTACTTCTAATAATAGCAGTTGGAACAGATTTCGCAGATTTTTCTATAATTTCAAAAATCTATTCAATTGGGCATATTATGACTTCTATGTGTTTTGAATGTCTGTGGAGATTCTCAGCTATCCAGGTCACGATTCTTCTGCTCTCTTTCAAAAGACAACTGGAATTTCTTTGGTTTTTTTCTTAAAGATGTTTTGCTTCTCATCCAAGAAGCTTCTTCAGCTCTTGACTGAATGGTGGTGAACAGAAGGATTTATATTCCTTGAAGTCATGTGGTCCTTACATGACTGCAAGGAATATAAATCCTTCCATTTTCCACCATTCAATCAGAACTGATGAAGCTTCTTGGATAAGAAGTAAAATATCTTCTAGAAACTCCAACTGCTATTTGAAAAAGCACCTTTATGTGTTTTGAAGTTGACACCATTAAATCCCATGGCCAAAATAGGAGCTGAGGTCCAATGTATCTGAAGAATGAAGCAGACATAATAATGAGACATTTTAAAAGTATATAAAAGATCATGAGAAACTTCTTCTAAATCACCTTCATTTTTCTTACTTTGCCCTAATATAAGGTCAATTAAATTATAATGGTTTAACTCTTGCATAAAATGAAAGGAAAAGGTAGCTTTTCCTCCCAGCCTACACATGCTGAAGGTTTCACAATACATTTTGAGAAATGAATAATTGATAAACAATATTTGATTAAATACGTACGTCTGTCTGCGGATGGTTTCGCGAGATTCCAAGGCATAAGCATGGCGGTCACCTTCTAAAAGGCGGAACTGGCGTTGCAACTTGGCCAACTCACCTTCAGCTGGTGGAAGACAATGTCATGGGAAGTGCAGGTAGAAAGAAAGAAAAGTGATAAGGAAGACATCCCAATATGGTATTTTTTTGCTGAGGTCCCCTCCCAATCACTGAAAGGTGAAGTAGGAATCCCTCTAAAAGACCTGTTTATCACTCCTGGAGCAATACACCTGGGGTAGGGATCACTGAGTTTAGGATTGATAATCCTATCTGTATTTTGTTCTGTTGGCCCTGTCCAAATAAATAGGTTTTGTGTAATGAGCAATAAGATGCTTTATGATCTACTCCATTTCCCCAAAAATAAGACCACCCTGGATAATAAGCCCAATTGGGCTTTTGAGCACATCTGCTAAAATAAGCCCTCCCCTGAAAATAAGCCCTCCCCAAAAATATTGCAACACAGTAGCAGCCATGAGGTGACTATGCTCGCCGCCTCTTGCACCTCAAAAATAATAAGACCTCCCTGAAAATAAGGAAATATTTCGGGGGTCAAAAGAAAATAAAAGCCTGTCTTATTTTCGGGGAAACACAATATGTATGATTCTCTGCGTAAACAGTATCTTCTTTGGCCAATATTAATTTTTGTGATCAAACTAATGTTCAAGTTCCAGTTTTTGTGGCTAGACAAAAAATGAGAGTTTATAGGTGGTCACAAATTACTTTTCTGTCTTTGCTAAACTTAACGCACCTATAAGCACTTTTAAGAACACAGAGAACTAGATGTTTCTGCTTAAATTCAATTCTGTCCCTGCCCAATCAATATATGTCACTGTCCTATTACAATCTCCCTACACTCTTTGAATATCCTCTGGCCTAGATTGTTCCCTGAAGTTTAACCACTTGCCATAAAATCAGGACAGTTACTCTTATATTCATATACCAGAATATTTTATTTTCCACCAATCTCAGAGTGCACCTGCCGAGAATACCAAAAGCTGTATCATCTCACACATATCCATACAGAACCTAACCAATGGGGAAATAATTTCTGCTTTTCTCCAGGACACCTTCTGAATTTCAGATGATATAACAGTTAGACTTATATACCTATTGCTATTGCTATATGATATGTTATGGCAGGGATAGGGAACTATGGTTTTTTTATGACCTGTGAACTTCAACTTCCAGAATTCTGGGAGTTGAAGTCCACAAGTCATAAAGGAGCCATAGTTCCCCACCTCTGTGCTATGGAGTCAAACTGAGAATTCACAAACTTACTGTCTACATCAGAGATAAACAACATAATGCTCAGAAACACTAAAGTAGCCACAGATATCTTCTTTGCTGACCTGGCAAGTCCCTCTACCCCATATATTTTGCTTTTCCAGAAAAAAAAATCATTAAAAATGTAAATGAGAAGCTAGCTTGTTGAAAAGCATTGTCTTTATTTAGAAGAATGTATCAAGGCCCTATAGGGTTTGTTGGAAAATAAACATTGCGGTACTTCTTCTGAAGTATATGGGAAATACTTGCCTAGAAAAAGGGAGGAAGATTTTATACTCCTAATTTGATCTGGATACATGCTTTATTATTCCATCCCTCTGCCTCTGTCTTGCTTTGGACAGTTCTGAAGTCAAGGACAGGCAGACATTCTTGCTCACTCACAATTTAATGACTCACTCTCCAGGTCCTCATACTACCAGAGACTCATGCCCCTGGCTATCCCCATATGCTAGCAAAGACTTTTGTGTTTCAGCCTCCTTTAATTTAGTTCCAATTTCAATACCAATGTACAATGAAGAGCTCTAGCTTACAGGGTTGCTCACAAAACATACCAAGGCATGTGGAAAACAGCCACAGTGCCCTGGTTCTGTTTCTTTGGCCCCTTTATTATTGGGATACAAAGAGCTTATTTCTTGCCTGTTCGTTTTCAAAAGCTGGCTTCTTTGGCAGCATTTTAATCTGGCCTGAGAATGAGCTCCCAATCTCTTCCACTCAAAAATTAGCGGAAAATTATCATTTGATTCAATGGGGAGACATGCATAGATTCTGTTATCTCCGTTTTTGTTCCCATCCTATTTTGCACTATTGTTTGCTCAGCTCGGCAAGAAGCTCTTTTAGCAGTGCACATTTGCACACTTTACTATACAGCCTACATTTTCTCAACTTTTTTCTCTAAAGGTTTCACAGCTTTCCATGGCAGTACATCAACATTTTTGAAACAAAACCACAGGAACACCTCCAGTCAAATACCCTTTATGAAACTGTCAAGCTATATTTGAAATGAAGATGGTACAGATATTTTATAACAGATTTAGACCGAGAAAAACTGCAGCACATAAACTAGACGGTGAAATTCTGGGAAACCTTCAGTAAATCTAAATGTCAAAAAAAAAAAAAAACACTTGCTCTAAGTCCTTAGCTACTGCCTGCCAAATCTTTTGATCTATGGGGATAAAGGGCTTTCCAACAGGATAAAAAAGCAGGGGGGACTTGAATTATTATGGCAGATTCTCCATTAGTGATTTAAAGTCACAGTTATCCAACTCTCATGCTAAAATATTATATTGTATTGCATTGCATTGCATTACCAACTCAATTGACAGCAGGATGCCAATAGAACTTACTCTCAAGTCACTGGTAGAGATAATGGCTTACAAAAGGGATAAACAAAACTTTTGGATCCCAGCCCGACAGTCACTTTGAAACAACCACTGTCCCAGTCAACTAGGGAAAATTAGGCAAAACTAGGCTTCTTGCTTTCCTATTTCAACAATGAAAACATATTATAGGCCTGTTTCAGAGGCTCCAATATCTCTAACCCCAATGTAGAATTTGGCAGTGCAGACGGTTCTTATGGAGATAACTTCTTCTTCTTCCTTAAAAGGTACCCATATCTTTAGGTCTCCATCATCACCATCACAATATTCTCTTTCCTCTCTTGGAAAATTACCTATGCCTTCTAGGTCCCCTTCACTACTCTCCGAACGAAAGCTTGAGGCAGATTTGAATGGCATCTTCAATTTCTACCTGTTGAGAGAAAGAGAATTCTGAAACATTATATCACTTTTAAAAAATAATTGTTTCATGAAAGTAGCATGTGAAAAATGGCCAAAATCCTCAACCTGCAATTAAGGAGCCTCAAATTCAAATATGGTGTCATAACATTTCCTGGGGCCCAGTTTTACCCATCATACTGAGCCATCATGTGTTATGCCTCTGGCTTAGCATGTTGATTACATTTACATATTATTGTTGTAAAACTGATTTATGACTTGGCATATGATACAAATCCAACAAACAAATTTATGCAAACCATGGAACTATACTACTTTAAACCACAAGCCTGTTTTGTTCTTTTTATTTAGGAACAAGCAAAGTGTAGTTTTGCAAACGGCTGCTGGACTAAAACCGCTATAATGACTCTTTTACTACCTAAGCCATTAAGAGTTGTTGGTCTACATCAGGGCTTCTCAACGTTGACAATTTTAAGAAGTGTGGATTTCAAATCCCAGAGTTCCCTGGCCAACCAGGTGGCAGTTGAAGTCTTTGTGTTTGAAGAACGTGTTTTAACCTATATAACCATATGGGTGAAGATGCCTACTGTATATGCACTGTCCTAAGCCCTCTGAAGGAAGAGCAGATTAAAATACAAATGGCTATCATTTAAATGGCAATGATGAAACAACAAACTAAATACCTTTTCCTTTAAAGCGATGCTCCATAAAAGTGAGTATTTCAACTATTCCTATAAAAGAAATCCTCCTCAGATGTTTACCTCTGATACTTAGTATAACTTGTATAGTGTACTATATATCATCTTCCTTTCATCTTCTCAATTCATTGTGATTTTTTTCTTCCATGGCTGTCTCCCAAAATAGAGCTATAATACTGAAATGCACAACTTGTAAATATAGTCATTCCCTAATTATATCTAATGGAAAGGCTTACCAAAAATAGTGACATAAGCACCCTCTTCTTCCATGTTGACATTAAATGACAAATAAGTTAAACATGCAGAAGACAGAGTATAAAAACTATGAAATAGAAGAATCTTGGGTAGAATTATTTGTAATTCTATTTGGGGAAATATTAAAAAGGAATATCTAGATGACTATTTGTTAAAATTCAAGCCAGGGTATTATGGGATGAGAATTGCACTATTTGTCCTAACTGGTGGGCTTTTATGAGACAAGGGGGAAGGAGTGTCGCCCTCCTAAACTTGTCAGTTTTGCCCACATCTTTCATGCCACCTATGGTACGCCTCTGAATCCAGGTTCATACCATACCACCATGGATTGCCTCTACAAGAATGCAGCCACCCTTTTTTAGTGGTGGTTCTTATTCCTGAACAGCCAGTATCCTGATGGAGAGAATGAAATAGAGCCCATTATGGAGTGCCACAGGCCTTGTCTCTCTTCTTATTTAACAGCTACATGAAGCCATTAGGGAATGAAACTCAGCAGCAGAAGGTGAGTATCATCAACATGTTGGTGATATTAATCTTTAAATGTCTGTACTGGGTTAGAAAAAATGGTGCAATGAAGAGTCTGACTGGGTCATTTGGACGACTCTGGATGCAGAGGAACTGACTTAAGTTGAAGTTTAGCAAGGTTGAATGGCGAGTTCACGATCTGAGGTCTGAATCTAAGGATGAGTCAAGACTTCCTATCTGATATGAGTAAGCCTGCACATGGAAGAACATGATGCAACATTGTCTGCCACTGCCACATTTAAAATCTGGCTGTCACTGCAGTCTCAGCATAGGAGATCATGGAAAAATCTAATCATATCTACTATCTCTTCTCCAAAGTGTTGAGATGAGAGTTCCCAGAATCCCAGTCAAATATGGCCTTAACTATGTAGTTTGGTAGTCTGAGAATTGTGATCCCAGCATATCTGGAAGGCAACAGATTAAAGAAGCCTGCCTTCCAGGTTCCTTGAACTGGCTGAACAATAGAGAGATTTTATAGTTACTTTAGTAACTAATTTTATTGCAAATGTCTGCAAAGTTGAACAGACAAACCACTTTTCATAAAGTTAACAACTGCACACCTTTTCAGCAGTTAGGTCCATTTCTATTTCAAAATTTATCTAAAGCGCCACTGAAAGACCACCTGAATTCATCAATGGTCCCAGGACTGTTTAAAAATTATATCTCTAGCTCTTTCGCTTTATCCTCTTCCCCCCCAAAAGAAATATTCCATATTGCACAAATATTATTTAATGAAATAAAAAATGCATTCTACCCTTCCACCGTGGTTTGTTTTTACGTAAAGCAATTCAAGGAGAAGACTTTAACTAAAATGTAATGATTTTCCCAAGAGGATTTAGGAGTCTGTTAGAATCAGATCCATTTCAATATCCTTGTCTGAATATGACTCAGTTCAAAACCACAAAACCTCCTTCATTTTTATCCTCACATTCATCACTATCTCACAAACCTTTCTCCTTAGCCTAATAATTTTCTAGCATCTGAAACCTGAATTAAATCAGCACCCCCACCCAACAAAAAATAATAAAAGTACCTTGTTCGCTAGAGAACCCTTATGACAAATATACAATTAATATTTAAGCAGTCAGTATTTTTGTATGCTCTGATACAGTATTCTGGTCTCTCCAGCCAACATCAGCCGTTGCTTTTGTTCACTCAGTTGTTAGCAACCATCTCCAAGAAATGCATCAGCTTTCCACCAATCCTGATGAAAGATGGGAGGGGAAGGAGAAGCAGAAGTGTGAGCTATATCCAACTAGCTGAAGTGTTTCCTTGATTCATTTACAGGTAATTTAGGATGCCAACAAAATAAAATGGATTAAAAATTGGAGATCAGAACAGGAAGTAAAAAAAAGGTTAAATGAGTTACGGTAGGAAAGGAAAAACATTAGTAAGTGACAAATCCCTTGACATTTAAAAAATAAAAAAGATGATTGATTGAGAGCTGTTAAATTCCACTACTTGTTAAGAGGGCAGTACAATTGAATGAGTTAAAACAAGATTGCACAAGAATGTATATTTATTGTTAACCTCAAGAAACTTTTAAGTGTACTCAGGGACAGTGATATATTGCTCTGTTTCCTACCCCCATCATCTACTTTACATTCCATACATTCCTGTAATTTTCTATCATGTTGTATACTATAAAGTTCTAGGCTTTCAGATTATACTAACATCCCATTCAGGTTTATCATTGTCACTGGATCTTCAAAATAACAACAGCTGCCTAGTCAAATACTGTACCATTTTTAAACCTTAGGTATAGCCCTATTCTCTGCACATTCTGCCTAGAGGGATGTACTTCCTTCTCCCAAAAACCTTGTCTTGTATTTGCCTTATGTTTAACCCACCCTCCAGGCTACTTTCTTTTCCAAACTTTTCCTTCTTGCATTCCATTTTTCATTTTGACTGAATCTTCCTCCAATTAATGCATAATATGAACTCAAACCCATGAACGGAGTAAACACTTCCATGCTCTGCAGTGCCTTAAAGTTGAGGTTGCCACTTTATTATGTTAATCTTATGTGCTTGCATGCCTTTAATAACAACTCAAGCTTGTTATAGATGGTATAATACAGATAGTCCTCGACTTACAACAGTTCATTTAGTGACTGTTTGAAATTACAATGACACTGACTTATGACCATTTTTCACCCTTGTGACCTTTGCAGCACCCCCATGGTCATGTCATCAAAATTCAGACCCTTGGCAACTGATTCATATTTATGCCCTAGGGTCCTCTTGATACTTTTTGTAACTTTATGACAAGCAAAGTTAATGGGGAAGCAGACTCACTTAGCAACCATATTACTAATGTAACAACTTCAGTGATTCATTTAACGACTCTGGCAAGAAAGGTTGTAAAATGGGGTGAAATTTATTTAAGAAATTTTGTCGCTCACTTAGTGACAAAAATCTGGGGCTCAATTGTGGTTGTACATTGAGGACTACTTGTAATACATCAACTTTGCCTAGGGCGCACTGTCAGCAGGCTCTAACTGCATATTAGTTAAAGAGTGGATACACGCAGATCTAGTCCTTGTTTCAGCATGTTGTACTGTTGGAAGAAATGTGTTGGTGGAGAAGAGAAGGGAAGGGAGGAAGAGAGGCTGAAAGTCCATGGTTTTATGCCCTCTCTGGCCTTTGATCTTGAGCTTGTATTCTGATTGGTTGTCAGACTCTCATGGGCCCATGCAGGGGCAACTCTCTGGGCTGCATTTTGAATCCAGGTTTGGTAGAGTTCTCAGATGCCATGTGGCGAGTTGGGTAAAGGGCCAATATTATCATGCCTTAATCCCATTACTCTGGAGCTGAAGGGGAGAACTCTTTATTATGTAAAGGGTTCAGGCTTTAATGGCTCATTGACAAAGGGGGATTATCATGCCTTAATCCCATCACTCTGGAGCTGAAGGGGAGAACTCTTTATTATGTAAAGGGTTCAGGCTTTAATGGCTCATTGGGCAGGAAGCTATTCCGTCTTTTAAAACATGTTTCTTCCTTTTCACATCCAGAGAAATATTCTGCCTTTTCAATATTTCCTAGGATATTTCATTTTTCTGGGAGAGGGCTGGGTGATAACGTCCTACAGTACGAAGATCCAGAACTTGAGATCCCAAAGGATAAGTAGATGAAATCACAATAGCTCCTGCCTGTTTACACTATATAATAAAGGTGAATCAAGTGCTCCCTGTAAAGGATCAAAACAATCCTTCATAGGAGACACCTACTCTTGGGGATAATTTCTTTTTCAAATCCTGCTAGATAACCTCGAAGCCTGATCTCACCTAATTCTAGCCATGCGACCCTTCACTTGAACCCCAAGGACCCATGTGATCATGGGGGATAGTCTCCCAACCCGTATCTAACAACGCACATCAAAGCCCTTTCAACATGTCAGCCCTTAAGATCCTGAAAGGGCCACACGGCGGTGCTGCAAAGTCACGTGCCTACAAATAATACTTGTATGCCCTGCCCAATCACAGCCATCCGCCTCACAGGTCTCAGCCCCCTTCAAACTACAGCGGCGTTTATGCCCCTCCCCTCCCAATAAGCCAGCCCTCTTACCTCCCAGGCCTCCCCCTCCCTCCCACTGCGCATGTCCGAGACTAACAGCTCCCTTCTTCGTTCCTTCCTTTTGCCCACACCCTTCCAAGATTCTCGTCTCTCTCTTCCTCTTCCTCCTCCTCCTCCTCCTCCTCCTCCCACCCCTCCCCCCCCGCGCCCGACCTGCTCGGGCGGAGTCTGGCTGAGGGGCGGCGCGGGCGGGTTACCATGGCAATGTTCCATCGCTGAAGTGTCATGCAAAACCACATCCTTCGTTCAGTTTGTCCCGCTGAAGCCGGTTGCCACGGAGACGGTTTTCGGAAAGGAAACTGGCAAAGGCGGGGAGATCGAGGGGGGACAGCAAGAGGGGAAGTCCCAGAGAGGGTGGGGAAGGAGCAGGCAGGAGCCTGGTGGAGACGCGGGGAAATCTTGCACCATCCGCGTGATTGGGAGGAGACACACACAAAAATTCACACACACACACACACACACACACACACACACAAACACACACAGAGTATGATTTATGTAGCTTTTCTGCTGGGCTGGCAAGATATCACAAGCCACTCTTTGCTCTGCTTTCTGCTAATACGGTCGCTCCCAATGCCAGAGAATTAATAACAGAATTATGTTACTAATTAATAAATTACTAAATTTACTTGCCACCGATCTCGCAGTTGGAGGCTATTCTGAGAGGCTTGGGATGTGGTAAAATATGCAGATATAAAACCAGTATAAAGCCGGATAAAATTACAAAAAAAAAAAAATCAAACAAAAACCTTGGATTTGGAGTGGAGAAAGTGATGGTGGTGCCGTCTTCTGTTTTCTGCACCAACCAAAAGCTCCAACCAAAAGCTTCTCCTTCAGGACTCCAAACCAACCTGCATAGCCAAGCTTTTAAAGCTTTTCCTGAAGGGTGAGGGCAGACCTCCCTCCTGTGGCAAGATGTTCCAAAGGACAAGGCAAGAAGGGCTCTTCTGGATCCCACCAGCTGAAATTCCTTGACTGATGGGATCTGCAGTAGAATCACTTCTGCCAGCATGAATGGGGCAGGCCAATCCCATTGGGGAAAGACAGTCCTGCAGATATCCTTCTGCCGGATGCCAGAGAGGGCTTTAAAATAATGAGAGACCTTGAATTGCATCCAGAAGCAGATTGACCCTTAGTGCACTTGTATTTACATGTGCCACCCTAGCAGCTTCCAAAACTGTCCCTGCAATCTTCTAGGGTAGTCCCATAAAGAGCGCTTCGCAGTAGTCCCAAATTTGAAATAACCAAGGTGATTTAAGTGACCCTGATTCAGAAAAGGACACAGTTGGTGCACAACACAAAGTTGTACAAAGGCTCTCCTAGCCATGATTGCCACTCATCTTTGAGCAGGAATCACAAGTCTAGAAGAAACCCCAAGTTGTGCAGTGGGTCTGTCTCAGGTAATGCCACCCCATCCAGAACTAAAGATTAGGATGTGGGGCGTCACAGTTGTGACAACAGTTTTGTTGGAAACTGCCTTAGGGACATTAGAGATAATGTAGGAAGCAAATTTCATAAACAGATGGACAGAGAATGTCCTGGATATAATGCCCATGAGTTGCATTCTTGCATGTTATGGTTCTAGTCCTCATGACTTTTGAGGGAGACCCAGAACCTGGTAATAGACACCTCAGTTTATCTCAGTTGCAAGGGATTAGTTACTAAAACACATTAAATGGGGTCCATTAAAACCAGGAGAGGCAAATTTGTGTGATACTACAGACTTTGATAATGAGAAGTTTTTCATTTGCCCATCAGCTTAAAGGAGAATAAGAGCTTCAAACTGTGGATATTGTTAATTTAGAGCACCAAAAATTTACATCGGAATGTACGGATTGTGAAAGGACCACATTTTTAAAATAAAATTTTTAGAATACACAACCCTCCATTAATTTGTGTACTGTCTTTCTTCTAGAAACTCCAAGTATAATACTCCTTTTTCTGATTTCCTACTATAGCCTTGTGAGGTAAATTGGGCTTGGAGGACTGGTGGGTACAAAATCGGTGACTAGGAGTAGATTTGTATAGAGGTTTCCAGTTTTTCTCCCAGCCTTTAACTATTACCTCATCCTGGTTCTCACATTAGCCTGAAGAGAGACAGGATTGAAATGTAGTGAAAGATCAAACATTGAACATGTCACTAAGAATATCATAAAACAGGAAATAGCACCTCATCCACTGACCTTTGCAGAAATATAAGACAGATTTGAATGTTGGCTATACAGAAGCACATCTAAATTGTATATTTATATTCAAATATTTAATCCTGTGTTTCTTCACTAAATTGTGTTGTTTATTTAAATCAGAATGTTTTTATTGAAATTTCTGGTAGATTTCATATAGATAATCTCCACATCAGTCTTAAAATATCACATTTGGTCTCATGATATAGAAAGGAAACTGAGGTTAAAACAAGCTTTTAAAGGGAATCTGATTTCTGAGAATTTGCTACAAATATCAATTGTGGAAACTATTATCATGAAAAAATGGACTCTTAAATTTGTGCTGGATCAACCTGAATTCAGATTCTATAATTCTGATCAAAGCTTCTCATTCTTGTATTTATAATAAAAAGAGCAGAATTTAGAATGACAGCATTTTTGTGAGGTTCAGACCTTGGATTTTTATTTGAAACAATTTCTTTGGTGACCAGTAATTGCTGGATCATTCAATCAGGTCACCATATATTTTTTTTATGAATGATGCAGTAAACTGTGAAATGATTGAAATATTGTATTATTCCTAACTGCAGGTGCTGGATTCTTCTTAAATGATTTCCTATATTTAAGAAATGACTGCAAATGAAAACAACAACACAGAAGAAAATAGACTCAGCTATAACTTTCCTCACTGATGAGTTAGTCCTTTATTTGAGAAAAGGGGACTAGTAGTTATGAAAAAGGTCTTAAAATGGAGGAAAGGGAAATAAAGAAAAGGAAAGAAAGGAAGGAAGAAAGAAAGAAAGTCTACTCTCTAATCATCTTTTCTGCAACCTGCATCAAATGGGAATAATATCTGTCTCTTGTGACTGGTGCTTACCAACTAATTCCCAGAATTCTCATCAAGGCTATCTATCTATGCTGGCAATGGGATGGCATGTTAAGACTGCAAAAGTAGATGGAGTTAACACCTTTCCATTGAAGCAAAATTTGTTTTATTCAGACAATTTTTTTGCATATGAATTGGTCTGACTGCTCAGTTGGATAGGCAATTATACATGTTTTTATAGAGGATGGAATTATGTTTGTAATTAATCTCCCTGTACATCATTGTTAACTACCTTGAGCTGTCAAGAAGATAGTAAATAATTGTATGAAAATAATCAAATTGTCTTAACTACTAGAGATTTAGTATTACAAAGCACACTGTTATTTTTATACACAGCAATAAAGTGCCTTTGGATATTTTCCCTGAAAGTGATGCAGTCTTGTAAAGTTGTTAACCAGAAATGTAATAGTGGAAGGTTTGGTTGAATGTAACAGGCAACTAGTATGAACAGTATTTTGTACACTATTTTTTCTTTCTCTCCAAAGATCACCATTTTTAAAAATAAATAAATCACTGTGTCTGTTTCTGGCTATCTCTACCTCTATACATTTACTTTGAGCATCAGATCCAGGTAGCAGAAATCCATAAAACCCCTGGCTGATAGCAAAGAGGGGCAGAAAATATTAATCCCTTATTGCCATCTAATGGTCATCCTGTATTTTTGCAGCTCAAGAAAATAAGCCTTACTTCAGGATTAGATTTCCTCTTTTATAACCAGGTATAGCAAAAGCTGTGGTAGACCTTAGAATCTTAACAAATCTTACCAAATTTTGGGGTGGTTTTACAAATGACAATGAAAATCTGTGATTTGCAGATTTCTAAAAGCATTTCTTTGTGGAATCTCTGGTTAATTATTATTTACCCCAATAAAACAATGTACTAATAGCTTCTAACTGGGATCTGAACAAATTCGTTATTCACAGACTGCTGTGCCACAGATACATTAGGAGCACACCAAGAATTCTTGATTAGAATTATCTTGCTGACTGAAATTTTTGGATTGCAATCTCAGTGCACCTGGATGGTACCCAATTTGTTTAATGTGTGATTGATTTCTTAATTAGACTTTTTTAATAAAGATAACAGTGACTTGTTTATTAAGAGTCTTGTTCATCTAGTTGTGGTTCTTTGAAAAGACACTCACCAAACTACCGTGTTTCCCCCCCCGCCCAAATAAGACTGGCCGGTGATCTTAACTGGGTTTATTTTGGGGGTAAGGCTTATATTACGAGCATCCTGAAAAAAATCATACTACGGCTTATTTTCTGGGTGATCTTATTTTAAGGGAGACAGGTACCTATGGAATTGGATCACTTAAGTGGATAGAAACTTGAAATAAAGTATTTAAGTGCTTCTTTTTTATGAGTCTTTCTGAAATTGCTTTAAAATATAATATATTTTCATCCATTAAATTGTATATGTATAGTGATTGACATTATATGGCAAGGACCTTTTAGTTTAGAGGCTCTAAATTTACATTATAATGTAATTATAATAGAATTTTATAGAATATGTTTTATTCTATATCTGTACTGTGCTTAGCTATAACTGCATAATATATAAAACTCCTACTAATACTAATGACTAAATGGATTCTCTGCGTTCAGAGATAATGTACCGCTGAACAGCAGCTGCTAAGGATAAGTGGTTGGCCACTATTAGAGTACTGAATTAGATTTTAGCCTAGCAACATTTCTCTCTGTGTGTCTATTATATTTCTGCACCTTTCCCCTTCAGTTCTTCTCCAGTGCAGTAGACATATTTTCCTGCCAGGAAAAATAACTGCCAGCTGAGGATAATCTAAGGAGGATAATTACAGTCCATGAAAGGACATGCCAGAATAATATCAGCTTGCTTTTATGCGTATGTATTTGTTAAAAAATCAAAAAGCTGGAATTTTTAAAAAGCCATAAAAATAAAAGAGCATAGGTAGTCCTTAACTTATGACCACAATTGAGTACAAAATTTCTGTTGCTAAGTGAAACATTTGTTAAGTGAGTTTGCCCATTTTACAACCTTTCTTGCTACAGTTGTTAAATCATTGTAGTTCTTAAATTGATCAAACTATTATTAGGTAAATCTGGTTCCCCATTGCTTTTGCTTGTCAGTCATAAAGGGTGATCAGGTGACACCCCCTTCCCCTGGACACTATGAATGTCATAAATATGAGTCATGAGTCTGAATTTTGATCCCATGATCATC